ATATTAATGAAAGTATATTCTAGCTATAACTATGCCTTTTGAGCATCTAATTAAGTATCTACCTATTACTAGATTCTATATTAAATACTGTACCTATAATCCACATTACTTGAGTTATCTAATTAAACCCTTTGATCAACTTAGTACTGTCAGATATTCTTCTTAAAGAAGAACTGCTGTTAAGGCCTCTTAGGACTACTTTATTCTTATGATAAACCTATTAGAGTGGTCTATATCTCACATATATATCATCTAGGTTTTCAGTAACTTACACCTAGGCCACGGCCAAGTACTTGTAGCTTTTTATCTCTGTTACTATTATCTACTCTGTGCCTTTGCAAAGTTCACCCAACCCTTAGTACCCACTTTATGGACTATCAACAGTACTTCGATAACAATTAACAGTACTCTAAACTTCTAATCCAGATAGCCTAGAAGAAACCAGTAAGCATCCCCTAGTATTTCAAATGAATCTTTTTTCCTCTAGCTGGTCCAGCGGCCTGGTTGATATAGTGCTTGCTAAACATTCAGTCTTTGTTTAGTTTATTGCTAATATCCAGTTTCCAGATAATAATCCTTTATATAGTACTGTCAAAAATCTGTGCTACATATACTGTAGATTTCTATAACTATATAGATAGTTTTTTATCTAGTTGGCAAATTTTTATATCTGTAAACAAGTTCTTTTATATTTTAGAATAGTTTTTATACTTCTTTATAATTTGGTCATATTTTTTATATATTTGTTTTTATTTATCCTTTTTATTTTATTCATATCACTTTTTTTATGAAAAAATATCATCAAATTAGTAACACTTTATTGTAAAGCAGTGATTTTAATAGAGTTAATAAAAACTATTTGTTAATAACTGTCACAGATCATAATGAAATCTGATCAAAATGAAACTGGAGACCTCTCATGCCCATCCTTAGAGCCTATAAAACCCACATATACTCATTTATTAATAAACCTAACCCTAAACCCTACCCTAATGCTAAAAAGATCCCCAAAAAATGTCACTCAAAAAATTTTATATTTTTTTAAAAAACAGAAAAATTTCGTTTTGATCAGATTTCATTTTAATCTGTGACAATAACTAATATTTATATCTTCAAAAAGTTGAAAATTCTAAAGAAGAAAATTATTTATTTAGCCAGATTGCTTCTAAATTATATTCTAATATATACTTTAATATAAAGTTTAAATTTATTTTTTATTACAATAATAAGACAGATTGAAAGAAACTTTATTTGTATAGAAATATAATAATTTGTAAATTGTATATAGGTTTAGCTAATTGAAAATATATTTATAATTTATTTTTGATTAATAAAATAAAGATAAATAAAAATAATAGATAGATAACATAAAAAATAAACTTTGCTAATATTAATTTTTTAATTAATGTTTAGTAAAATTTATAAAATTTGGCCACCTATTTTATAAAACATCTAATCAAAATTCTAACAAAACAAAAACAAAATCATTAAAAATTATAAATAGTTATAAAAAAACAAAAAATAATAATTAAAAATTGTTTAAACTATATATTTTAATATAAATTTTTAAATTAGCCTTCTAATTTAAAATTTTGATCTAGTATAGCAGGTTATATTTAAGAATTCAAAAAATAGTTAATAATATTAAACATAAATTTAATAATTTATTATACTATATACGGAGGTATTAGTAAAAACTAAACTATTTGTTTTTAGTTTTTTTTTTTTTTATAGTCAAGGTTAGCCTCTTTGGCTTATCACTTTTATTAGATATTAGAATCATGTAGTGCCCTTTTCAAAGAGGCCCCAGATAAGTATATTCTGATGAGAATATATTCTAGCCATATTTGCATCTTTTGGGTGACTAATTAAGTGATTCTACCTATGTGCTAGATGCTACACTAGATGCCGTACCTGTAACCCACTATTACTTGAATTAACCGATTAAACCCTCTGATCTGAGTTTCTTATGTCAATCCATCTAACCTTACCTGGAACATGTGATATATAAGTCAATCCAAATTCTAAGATCGTTGTGTCTACTTATAGGACTACCAGTATGATTAACCGATTCATCCTCGTGTGCATCATCTGCTAGAGCAGTCCAGTACCTACTATTCCCGTATTACCTAGTCTTCTTCGATAACTTACACTGAGTCTGAAGACAAGTATTTGCAAGCTGAAGCCGCTATAGTTACCTACTACTGCCTTTATAGAGTTCACCCAAACTCCAGTATATCTACAGACTTTTCCCGGTCATCCCAGCTATTCCAAACTACTAATTCAGATGACCAGAAGGGTTATGGCCTGCCCCTGGTTCTCACGATTAGGTTCTTTTCTTCCGGTTACTCTTCTGGCAGCCTGGTTAGTGGAGTGCCTTGTCAAACACTTCGGTCCCGTTCAGTTTATCCAGTTTCTCAGATATTAATTCGCATATAATACTGTTGAAGATCTGTGCTACCTCTCTATTCAGAACTTCCTAAGCGAGCATCCCACCGCCGTATTGGCCCTGTGGCTTTCTGCGATTCCAAAGGACTTATCCTGGGTTTGCACTAACTAAACCGGCTTGCATGCCTTTGTGTAACTCCTTTATTACACAAATGCCCTAGGACCTTCCAATTTTTATCTTGGTATGACTACAGTTACAAGGTCTTGAGTTTTCCTAGCCACAACGATAATTGCTGAATCCGTTTTTCTAAATTCAATTTTTCGCCTTCTGTGAGAATTGAACTTATACTCTACCGCTTGGGGGTGCGACAACTTCACCACTTCACTAAGTCACCACACTCTTGCCATTTGTTTTTAGTAAGTTTTTTAAAATTTTAAATTATAATATTTTAACAACTATTAAATCAAATTTGATAAAAATTTTTTTATTTAATTTAGAATTAAAATAAAAAAATTTTATCAAGTTTGACTTAATAATTGTTAAAATATTTTAGTTTAAAAAAACTTACTTAAAACAAATTGTTTAGTTTCCATTGGCACCTTTATATACTGTATATAAAAGAGGTGAAGATATTGTAAACAGAAAAATATTGTAAAAATAAAGAGAAATTTTATGATCTAATGATCGAAATTAGATGATTTTTATACCATTCAAATCATCTTAAAGAAATAAATCAAATAATATAAAATTCATCTATTTCTGATTACTAAATTACAAAATATTATTATTTATATAAAATATAAATTTTTGTATATATTTGAATTTAATTAGTAAATTTGCAAATTTTTAAATAATAAACCTTTAACAATCTTGGAATTCAAAAATTAGAGATTAACAATTTTATACTTGTTATAATCACCTCACTAAAATAATAATAAAATCATCTAAAACAGACCAAAAGATCAAAAATTATTTACTGTATCCACAATACCCCTTTGCTCTAAAATTTAATTTTATATTCTATTTATATATTAATTATTTATATCTAAAACTATATATGATATAAAGTTTTTTTGCAATAATTTATTCTTTATTAAGCATAGTTCAAATAATAAAAATTATATAAAAATCTATCTGTTTATTAAAAAGTTTTGCTAGTAAGAACCTTAAGGTGTAAAGTAGTCTAAGTTTCTTTTCTTGTTATCTTAGAATATGAAATTTAAGTAGATTCTCTTCATTGTAAAAAAGTTATACATTCTTTTCAAAAAAAAAAAGAACCTTAAGGTGTCCATAATACCCCTGCCTCCCGTATATGTATATACTGTAGATAATAAATTAGAAATTATTTATAATTTATAAATCTATAAATTCTTTATAAGTTTTTATAACAATATATTTTAACTGTATATTATATTAACGATAACGGTAAGTAAACGTTCACAACCTGATAACGATAATCAAAGCGAGTTTCACTTCGTTCTGCAGCAAGCAGGAATTTTCAATTACTATACATACTGTATACCCCTTTCTATGCAATGTATCCCCGGGCATAAAATAGGTGAAATGTAATAATATACCCGAGCATGTGTATGCTATGTATAAGCTAAATTATAATATATATCAAGTAATCAGGTTCACCGTTTTAATAAATACGTATATTAAATCTTGCCGAATGTAATTTATGCAATGTAATTTGTATTATGGTGCATGTTTATTATTTTTTATTTTTATTTTTGACATATAGTATATCAAATTTCTTGTATACATTTACGCATACAATCTGTACCAAAAAAAAAAAAAAGACTCTAAAATATATACCCCAAAAATACACAAATAGATTTCACTGAAAAAAAAAAGGTTAAATATTGTAATACGTTTAAAAAAAAAAATTATATCAAACAAAATTTACAACTGTTGTGTGAAATGTTAAATACAAATAATGTCTGAATGAATTCCAAAGACATTTGATTTCATCCAGAAATCAAATGCGATCTGTATATTAGTAAAAAAATATTGGTTTCCTCTTTTTTTTTTTTTTTTTTAATTTTGATTTTTAAAAATTAATATAATCATTAAACAGATACAAAAAGATAAAATTAAGTTAGTAAAATTTTCCACAATAAAAATTTTCATCATCGATAGTGGACGACCAATGCCAAGTTACAGATTGATAAAGTCATGCAGAAATTCACGCAATGAATAACTATTGAAACTAAATTATGAATTTCGTTTGCACTAATATTGATCACATATTGCTTTTTGTCTAAACACATTGTTTAAATATAAATAGTAATTGTGGCGGATTAAAATGAAATCAAATTAAAATGAAAATTTTGCCTTATTTTAATTGGAAATTTACGCGCCGTGGTAAAAATTTTTTTTGGGGTGTATTTGTTTAGGGCTTTGGTTAGGATTCAGGGTTAAAATTCTTAATAGAAGAGTAAATGTGGATTTTAAAGACTTCAAAAGAAACCCCCGATTTCATTTTAATCTGATTCCATTATGATCGCGGCGATAGTAACTTCACGGAATGTCTTTTTCGAATTATTGAAAGGTCATCATGCCTGTTGTAAAAAAAAATGAATTAGTATAACTAATTTTAAATTTTGCGTTAAACACCCAATAAAGACTCACTATTTCCAACCCAATAAAATGAAATTATTCTGTGCGTGCCTTCTTCATTTTCGGTCTTAACGTCTGAGACGATCGCAGGATCTTCAATCCACCTTTCTTGGGTGAGGACCCATTTGACGAGAGGGCATTCTCGCTTGTCGTAGTTTGTGTTGTTCTTGCACGTATCAAAAGGTCATCATCGTCGTCGTCATCATCAGGTCTTGATCGTTTCCCTATGATTGGCTGGGTTGGTCTTGGTGATAATGGTGGTGAAGTTGATGTTTGTTGTTTATCTTGTTTATCGGGAGTTACTAACTCATCAATGTCCTTTTTCACATTTTCATCATCATCCTCATCTGGATAGTCAACCAACCCCACTGACCCTACACCATCTTTTGACTCATCTTTTGTTGAATCATCTTTTGAATCATCTTTTGACTCATCTTTTGACTCATCTTTTGAATCATCTTTTGATTCTACTGGTACCTTTGATTCATCTTCTGATGTTAATTCTTCTTTAGATTCTACATCCTGTTTTGTTGTGCCAATTTTCGAACATTCACCAGACGTACTACTAATATTATCTTCTTCATCTGATGTGTTGAAATATGCTTCTTCATCTTCATCCCCTATTGCAGATGACCAACCTTCACGACCCGGGCGTATATTGCTTTGACTACAATTTACGTAAGTAAACTGGTTAGACACCGATTTATAAATACATTAAAAATAAAATGAAGCTTTAAAAAAAAACAAACCTTTGACTAGATTCTCCTGGTGACTTATCTGATCCAATAAG